TTTTCTTAAATTAACTTTGATAAATAAAAAGTGATTGTTCATTGTTAATTCATGATACCAAATGCATTATACATTAAAATTAACATATAGACACTTAATTTTAAATTTTGCCAACTATTGTGTTTTACCCTTGGATGCTATTGAATTAACATAATTTACCATATTTTCTATATTCACCATATCACTTACAGTGATCCATTTTTTTCCTTCAGTTCGATCTGATACAGTCAGCTGAATTACATGTATTCAGTGCAGTCTTTTCATTCTTTCGTTCTTTTTGTTCAATTGACTGGTAAAAAAAAAGTTTTTGGTTTTATCTGAAGAGCGAAAATATAAAAACAACCACATTTATCTTTATTTTCCACACAGAAATGAATGGGTAACTCATTTCTGGCACCCATGATTTGTTTACCCCCATGATAGGCCACACACACAGATGATTTGTTTCCGACTGGGGTTGTTTCTTATCCTGCTATATGCCTTGTTTATGTCTGGCAGGGGAACACAGTGGAGTTACCTGTGGAGGAAAACACACCAGAGAAAAGAGTCGACCGCATCTTTGCTATGATGGATAAGGTGAATTCTGTGTATTTATTTGCTGTGTACTGTCTTCCGCTGCCTCATTGCTCTCATACACAACATTACTTGCAGAAATCATTGCCTGTGTACAAATAAGTATAGAAAATGTACTGCATTTATAGTGAATTGCAATAACTCTGAGAATTTTCAGTTATTTTTTAAACAACAAAACAATCCCATCACTTCCTATGACTGAATAGTCATAGCAATAGGTTCAATACAATGGCTTATTTCTGCTGTGATTGTCAGGAAGGCTGTCCTTCGTCAGGCACTAGAAACACAGAAGGCACGCCACATGAAAAACGCAAAATAGAAGGTCTATTGCACTGTCTAGAGGCGCTTTGGAAAGCTTTGATAAAAGAGCCTTTGAAAGAGCACTCAGCTATAGAGAGAAAGAAGAGATTTGAATTCATCATTAAAAACTGTCTTTCTACCTGATTCCATGCATATCTTCCGCCACCAACTCTATGCATTTAATACGAGTATGTGTGTTTGAAAACAGTGACATGACTTATGACTAAGTGTCTTCCTTTTGTCAACAGAATGCAGATGGGATGTTGACTCTGCAGGAGTTTCAGGAGGGCTCCAAGGCAGACCCCTCTATTGTACAAGCACTCTCCCTTTATGATGGCCTGGTGTAGGCCCATCTCAAAGTGGCGTTCAGTGAGTCCCATTTCCCATTTTCCAAATGCTGAAAACAGCCATGTACCAGCCTGCTGACTACAGTGAATATTCTAAATGTGCACATCAGTGTTAATTTAGTATTATTTATATACTGTTATATTATGTATTGTTTTGGGTTAGCTTTGAGTAATTTTGTTATGTGGTTTTCAAGTACCTAAAAGAATTGTTAATAGTTTTAATTTAAGCTAAACATTACAACACTGGCACGTCTTTACAATTCTTTACAATACTTTTCAATACAATACAGTTCTTTACAAAAAAAAAACTTTACAATACTTTTCAGTTCAAACTGAAAAAATGCAAAAAAAAAAAAAAAGGGTTGTTCGTCAAAACTGTGTCGAAACTCAAATATGATCAGCTCTCTTCCTTTTTTTAATGTTCTAAAGGAATGTCAGGACCTTTAAAATTATTCACTTTAGGCCTTTACAGTTACATCTGTTTGAAAGCACTAATTAGATTAACTGTAATTACAGCAGTTCATTATTCATGTACCAACTCAGTGTGAATTTAAAGTTTCTGTTTTTCATTCCTATATATATACTAGGTAATCAATACAGTCCATTTATGTCATCCTGCTGGCACTGTGAGAGGAAAACTGACCTGTCACCAATCTCTTGGACCTGCCAAGTGCCAACACGAAGGTGCATTGTAGGTGTTGCTCTTAAGAGGGGATCAGCTGTCAGTCACTCATCTCTGGGAATCCAGAATTCGCTCAAGACAATGTGAACCCTTGCAGAACTCATTTGGGATGAGTGATGTACAGTAAAAAACCTCATGAGAGTCTGATGGGTTCAGTGCCCGTTTTGTAAAGAAGACACTCATATGGACAGTGACTTTGTGGGCATCCACATCAGTGTTATTAAATGTAAAACTCAAATATTCTAAACACCAATGAATGAGTTCCTTATACTGCTGTGGACTTTGTCATAGGACCCAGTTGGATTTTGGTCTAGCCTTCACTACATGATGAACGAAGATGCATTTGCAACATTCCATGGGGCTTCAGCAAGCACTGGCATTGAACAACATGCATCTAGCTTTATTTATTTATATAATCTTTCTATGTAAATTAGCAATCTTCAACAATAAACAAAAACTTATAAATCTCCTTATAAATCTCATGCTTATTCTTGAGACCTGATAGTTAACGTCTGGCAGCCATGATGTATTATACTGAGACTGTATTTACTCACATGCCCCTGCTTTGCTTGACCCATAGGCAGCCTCACTGTACACCTTGTGGTGTAGAATGCAAATGTTCTACAGTATTGCATATGACTGTGGTGATGGTGTGGGCGTATATATGATGAAGTCAGCACTGGCAAACATGCTCTTCTCAGACAGCTATTGTGTTGCACCTCTGGCTTCTTTGAAAGTATGAGATTAATTTTGTACCAATAGCATATACAGCATTCATCGGCACTGCACATGCCCGCAGTGTTTGAAGTGTTGGTGTATTTAGATTACTGCTAATGTTACGGGTGTGGTTAAAATCGTCTTGGTTAAAGTCTTTTTTTTAAGCCCAACATTTCATCTTTCTAATATGGCCATCTGGGAATGTTACAAGGTCTACCTGTTCTCCAATTGCAAACGCACTGCTGAGTTTGTCTTAATGTCACAGAGACACTGCAGTAGATGAAATATTGTGTTATGGGGTAATGTTAATGAAATGTTAATGGAGTCTCTTTAAATAAAAATGTTTTTAAGAAAAAAAAAATGTCTTAAGGTCTGTTTATGGTCGGTGGGCCATAGCACTAAAGGAAGTAATTTCACCTGAATATTGCATGTTCTAGCTAATAATCACCACCTTTACTCTAAAATAACAGATAATTCAATATCTTATTTGTGTGTAGAAACAGAAACTACGCTGGTATGATCAAACCAAAGAAAATACATTTTCGGTTGGCCACAACATCATATTTTAAGATTGGAGCTAATTTTCCTCTCAGTCAAATGTCTGTATTATTATTCAGTCAAGGCTCATGAATATATTCTGCCTGATGGCTTCAAACATCCACACTCCACCCTGCAATAGAAATGGTGTAATGGACATGCAGTATAAAGGATTCCAGGCTAAAAGGACCAAAAATTGAGATGGAAAGGTTCAAGCTGGCAGGCAGTACCTCACTGCTTGCATAACACAATGGAACACTTGGTATTGTTCAATAATCAGTTAAACCAACCAGATTTTACTCATGGAAAATCATGAATAATAAAGGAAGCTGGTACAGACACTAAAAGGCACCAGAAAAGAGAACATGAATTATGCCTTTTCACCTTTGGTTTGACTGCTTCTATACTGTTATACTAGCATATGTATTAAATATGTAGTGTTACAAAACAATCAAGATCCCATACTTAGCACATGGTCAAATGTATCTGGTTAACCATGATACTAAATGCATCCTGTGGATATGCAAACACTACTGTCTGTCAGAGTTCCTCCTACCCATATGAGAACTACACTGACTGATTATACCAGATATCTCCACTTTCTTGCTATCTGGGCTCAGCCACCTCACCTGACAGCCCATCAGTTTTAATGGGCTGCTTGGGCTCAGATACCCTCAGCGTTGGAATGTAGGGTTACCTCACTTCTGTCATGCCATGCCTCCGTGGACATGTTGTTAACAGCAGGTGGTAGGTATCAGTATAGCAGGGTGGGACTGTTGTGTTTAAATGCAGCAAAGGCACTATCTCTATTCAACAGATGCTCAGCCATTCGGAATACTCACACTCTTCCCTGAACCTTGTTTTGCTAAATATATTTCTTGCGATCATTTTGGTCTCATTAATGCTTCTAAGGTCAGAATTTAGACTTGTGATACTACCATATGCACCACAGGCTTTCTGGCTGTTTTTCACTTACCTCCTCTAAAATTATTATTATTTTTTATTTTTATTTTATAAATGTTGGGTTGTTCTTTTCGTTTTCTGTACATATGCTTCACTAAAATACCATGTGTGTGTATATATATATATATATATATACCAGAAAGAACTGTTGTATATGTGTATGTATATATATATATATATGTATGTGTGTGTGTGTCTGTGTGTGTGTGTGCAGATAGATACATCAAAACATCCTAAAATATCATGGTTTCCACAATAATATTAAGCAGTAGGACAGCGTTGATAATAATAATAATAATAATAAATTTTTAGAATTAGAATGATTTCTGACACTGAAGAATTTTTGAGCTGAAAATTGAGCTGTCAGGTCAAGGATTCATTTACGTTTTTTAAATCTAAAATCGAAAGCAGTTATTTTATAATAATATTTTGCAATATTACGGTCTTTACTGTTGTTTTGGTCAAGACAGCATAAGGAGACCAGGGCCTACTTTTAAGCACGTTTAAAAAAATCTTAACGACCTCAAATCTATGTAATATACGAATTACGACGAGTATTTGGGTTTACTAAAAAATTATATTAAAGCCACCACGCCATTGATCGTTTGACTGAACTTCAGTTTGTTAGCAAAGTGTGCCCCTGTTGACCATCAAACGACGTGCGCCACATAAACAATTTAAATATATTTAAAATATTTTAAGCTCAAGCTACAACATCATATGAGGTTCATGCATAACGACTCACGGCATTTTGCATACAGTGTTAAAGGAGTGCAAACTCATTCAATGTCATGTTTTGAAAAAGTTACAGGCGGCGGACGCTCCCCCGGCTTCCTCCTGCTCGTGTCAAATTGCTCATCCCGCAACTTCCTGTCGCTGTAATTCCTCATTGCTAACGGAGGCTCCCTGTTTTAGCCTAGCTAGCTAACTCCACAAACAGAAAATAACAACAATAAATGTACTTTAAATTAACGTATGATATTACGTTTCAGAATAATACAGCTGTTAAAATGTGAACGAATAGAGAGCTAATGAATTTTCTGAATAAAATCGTTTCCGTTAGATTCGTATTGTTGTATGTTATAATGCTAGCTCAGGACTTTACAGATTTGCCTAACGGCAGCTAGCGGGGAGTTTAACTGTTTTTTGTGTCGCTAAAACTAGATCGTCACCCGACAAGGCCAGATTGTCACTCAGCTGCAGAAATTAAAATTTCTCTTTTGTAGAGCGATTTCGATTTGCGTTGACACCTGTTAGCTAGCGCGGCTAGCTAGCGCTCTCCTCACACTGATTCTACTGGAAATGGTGAGTGTTTCGTGTCTTCTCTATTTAAGTTTTACCATTAAGCTTGGTTTAATAAGAAAACTTATTATTGAATAGCTACTGGTCCTGTTCTTGAGAATGAGTTAACCAACAAATAATTGTTTTATTAAGTCTCTGGCCTTCCAGGTAGCGAATTTGTTTTAGCAGGTGTGTTTGGAAACCGGAGAGCTGTATTCCAGTTACATGACAGCTTGTCAGTTTCTGTGCAGAAAGCTGTGTTAGCATGTCAGCCAAGTAATCATGGAGATCTAACGTTTTTGTCTGTGAGGCCCTCGTGTCTTTTGCCGTCATGTTTTGGTTCTTCAAATAAATTAGTTCCTCTACATTCTGTTTTATACGGTTTAAAGCAATGCAGATTACATTAACATTACTCAAAGGTTGCATAAAAGTGGAAAGTGGTCGTTTTCTTTGATTGCATCCATTATGTAATCTGAAGGTGTTTTTTTCTTCTTCTTGTATTGCTCTTGATGTAGCTATTGTAGTATTGTTTTTGCTCTGTATAAAAGGCACTGTTTATCCCACATCATTGCTTTTCAAATGCAGTGTAGTTAGTCTGATCTGACCGGTGTATGTGTCAACAGGTAGACGCCCTCATGTGCCCATGGAAAAGGTGGCTTTCGAGGGGTGGCTGGAGTCAGTTTCCACCACCTTCCTGGCGCTAAGTGACCAGCAGCGCAACCAATCGCTGGACCACCTCATCTCACTGAGCGGTGCCGCCCAACTCCGACACCTGTCCAATAGGCTGGAAGCGCTGCTGAAGCGGGATTTCCTGCGCCTGCTGCCGTTAGAGCTGGCCTTCTACCTGCTCCGCTGGCTGGACCCCCAAACCCTGCTCACCTGCTGTCTGGTGTGCAAGCAGTGGAATAAAGTCATCAATGCCTGTACAGAAGTGTGGCAGAGTGTGTGTCGAGACCTTGGCTGGCGCATCGATGAGTCCATCCAGGATGCGACACACTGGAAAGGTGTTTATCTAAAGGCCAAACTGCGCATGAAGCAGCTAAGGGAGGAGGATGCTTTTGAGACGAGCTCTCTCATTGGACACAGTGCTCGGGTATATGCTCTCTACTACCGGGATGGGCTCCTCTGCACAGGTGCATTTCTTTTTATAGTTGTCTTTCTTGGTTTTGTGATCAAAAGGAGATCTGTTGTGATGTTAAAGTTGGCTTGAAATTCCTATCCCGATCTAATTTCTAAATAAATCTATTTGATCTTGTTGTGAATGATTCATCCATGCATATGTTTCTGCATTGAGCTTATTTTTAATCCAGTTTCTATAGCTCAATCCTCCAGTGAAGCAACAGACTTCTTCAATCCTTTCCACCACTACCCTTTTTTTAAATTTTTTATTTGACCTCAAGCCTGCATTCAGATCTGCCTCCATCCAATCAGCTATCGATGAATAGAACCCTGCCACATTTTTTTATTTTTCGATAGTTTGTTTCTCTCTGATGTACGTCACAATACCAAAGAAAAGATTTGTTGCTACTTCCATTACACGCAATATTAAATGCTGTTTTTTTTTATCCCCTACATGAGCTCAGTTTTTAGTCTCCAACGTGGGAATGGATGAGTTAATGTGCTCCTTATGGATTCATCTCAGGGTCATTAAAAATGATAGGTACAGGGCTTTATATTATATTATATTACATGTTTATTTCTTGGTAATACACATTTGACTGTAAAGCACTGAGCTTGAGTTTGCTAAGCATACAAAATTTACTTTTATTAACAACAGTAACATGCAAAATCAAATTTTTATATAGAAAATTTATATATTCTACTCTTATTAAATGTACCAATATTCTTCTATAGTATTATACAGAACTGACCGATAACTTCAGTGATTATAAAAGGAACACTCTTTATGTGTGATTCAGTTACAGAAGAAAAGTTTTTTTTAAGGCACTTTGTGACTTTTCTTACTTCATACACACAAAAAAAAATGTGCAAAACGTTAACAAATTTTGATTTCTTGATGATTTTATATTTTATAATAGTGATTTTTTAATTTCAATATATAAAGCAAAAAGTAGAAATGCCATCTACTGGTTATAGTGGTAACCTGATGTTTTTTTTTTTTTTATGTAAGTGTTTGTTTACCACAAATTATATTTTGGTCATCCCATTAAAAATAACATTTAAATGTACTCATTTTTAGAGCTTTAAAGTGCTGGAAATAGTTGTGTGAAAAGCTTGAAAGTCAATGAAAAGTGCATACATTTTCTTCCTTAGAAAGGTTGTACAAACCCTGAAATAAATAATGTAACATTTGACTATTTCTGCCACAACACCATGGTTATAGTTAGCGTTACTACTTCTGGTTTTGTTTTCTGATGTACGTCAGCACTGTTTGTATGAGTAGTATGAGTAAAAGACTTAAGATATTACTCGTTTTAAATGAAGATCATGTTTTGTGGTGCGCTGATCAAAGACACCCTTTCCCTTAGGTTCTGATGACCTGTCAGCCAAACTATGGGATGTCCGCACAGGGCAGTGCGTCTACGGCATCCAGACCCACACTTGTGCAACTGTCAAATTTGATGAGCAGAAACTGGTGACCGGGTCTTTTGACAACACCATTGCATGCTGGGAATGGTGCACTGGTGCCAAAATCCAGCAATTCCGAGGACATACTGGGGCGGGTTAGTGTCAAGTTCTCAACATTTTTCCTGCTAGTGGCACAAAGAAAATGAACGTTAATAGTTGTTTTTGCTTCATGGTTGTCATGACATCAAGACATAGCTTATGCATAGTCCTAAAGATTTGCTGTTGTTGCAGTATTCAGCATAGACTACAATGATGACTTGGACACCCTGGTCAGCGGCTCAGCAGACTCCACTGTAAAAGTCTGGTCCCTGTCTACAGGAACCTGTGTCAACACTCTTACTGGACACACAGAGTGGGTCACCAAGGTAAGACTCTTGGCCAGATTTTATTATGCAATATTGTAATGTATTATTTAGCTGTTTTTTTTATTTTGGAGTTGGAGATCAGTTTTCCTAACTGTGCACCTATATGGTACATCTGTGCTTGTTTAGGTGCACCTTCAAAAAAGCCAAGTGGAGTCCATGATGCACAGTCCTGGTGACTACATTCTACTGAGTGTCGATAAGTATGAAATAAAGGTAATGTAAATCACTTGTACGAGTATTCTTAAGTTCCATGAATATTTTCAAAGTGTTGTTCATTGTGGAGTTTTATATTTAAAACAATTAAACACAAAGGTGTCTTAAAGCTAGTCACACGTTTTCATTGTTGCATTTAGGGTTGTGACAATATTAGATTCATTATGCTATTATGTTTGCCAAAAGAATTCACTATAAAAATGCAATTGCAGTACCTATTGAAATTTGGGGGGAAAAAATAGAAGAAGAGAAAAGTAACAAATAATCCTGTTCTAATTAATCTTTAACTTTTAGCTTTTTCTTTTTTGTCCTGTGAATCACACTCAAAACATGAGTGTAGGGTGGCACATAGAGAGTTTGTAACCATAACTGAACAAAAGCATAAAAAGATAACTACTTAACTAATTAGTATCTTCAGTTACATTACGCCAGTAGTATTATGTTTTTCACACCAATAGCTCTGTCTGTCTGAATTCCAATTAGCAGCTCCCTTGAATGTTTATAATAAAAGCAGCCATCTGTACTAAGAGAAAATTTGGATTATGATGAAATTATTGAACATCTTAAATTCAAAACCCAGACGAATACAACTTGTTTAGAATAGACATCAATCATTCAAGGTAAGGTAATATGGGTTAATTTTTTTTTGTCTTTTTATGTAGTATTTGCATTGCAATATTTGTGAGCAATGGATTATCTGAACTGCCAACTTTTGAGTTCAACTTAGAGTGATAATTTCCACGGCAGGATGGGTGAGGGTTTTGTTTAGGGATATATGTCACTCCTGAAACTTTGCTGCATGTATATGTGGCCGTTGGTCCTGTTAGCAGCGGGAAAATCAAAACTTGCATTCAGATTCTGAATGGATTATTTGTAGCCATTTAATCACTAACAAAAAAGCTGTCACTCACTTCACTTTTATCGCAATCTCACAATGTTCCATTATAATCAATGAAGCTCTTATTTACATCATTTCTACACCTTGTTACGATGAGAGGATTCGCGAGTGTGCAGGAAAAAATCCGGCGTTTAGAGGTGAGTGAATTACAGGTGTTCAAGAAATCAACAGATATGTCTGTGACATGTGGCTGCATTGCTCAATGCTACAAAAACACGTAAATAGACATTTTTTATGCTTTCCAGAGCACAAACACAAATATGCACTGGAGCCTTTATCAAATCTGTTTTGCCAATATCCTATTATTACAGTTTTAACTGAGGGTGCTTTTGACTGTGTGAGAAAATGAAATGGATGTGTGGTGTGACAGCGTGAGAACAGTGTCAATTTCATGAATCTCATGCTGAATGCGTGAGAATTGGCAGCCCAGTCAGATAGATAGATAGAAAGCTTTGCTAATTTTATATCATATAGCTTTTAAGCAGGACTGCCAACTATCTGTCTGATAGTCTGTCTGACAGGGCTGACTCACGCATTTGGCTTAAGACTCACGCAGTTGAGACTGTTCTCATGCTCTCACGCCACACATCCGTTTTCTCATGCAGTGAAAAGCACCCTCAAATGAAAGCAAGAGCACCCTCGGTTGAAACTGTAATAATAGGATATTGGCGAAAGAGATTTGGCAAACTCTCTAGTGCATAAGTGTTTGCACTCTGGAGAGTGTTATAAGTTTTTATTTTCAACGTATTTTTGTAGCATTGAGCAATGTAGCCAATCACAGACATATCTGTTGATTTCTTGTACATGCAGAAAAGTTTCCAGAGTGATATATAAATGCCTCATCCCTCATATAAATGCAGGATTCACTTTTGAAATGGCAATGATTGAGGTAAACATATCAATGGATGGGGAAAAAATATAATTTGTCTAAATAGATGTGCATTAAGCAATGCAAATTGCTTATTTTGAATAGATTAATGCTTGGATTACTAATAGATTAATTGAAAAATATATGAAGTTTCATATCAATATTTGTAATGATGGCTGTTGCAATTATTTGTAAAAGTAATTGTAAATCTGGCAATTCTCTCACTGTACATTGCTATTCTTGTTGTGGTGAAGTTTGCAACAGTTATTTTACATAATTTTATGATAAAAACACAGTAGTCTACTACTTATCATGACTATGCTAGGCATGTCCAGATGTCAAACAAAACTGCTGACAGGTTTTGCACTACAGCGCCACACTGGTCAAACCGCGTTATTGCAGGCCCTTACATTAGGTCATATGAGATCAAACGACTATTCGACAACAAAAATATTTGTCAACAATTTTTCATTGCCAGTGTTGTCGACTAATCGTTTCAGCCCTAATCACAGGTGTTCAAGAAATTAACAGATATGTCTGTGATTGGCTACATTGCTCAATGCTTCAAAAACCCATTGTAAATAGACATTTATAAAACGGATAGTTCCGGTCCTTGATTCTGATTGGCTGAGCCACGTTCGAAGCTGTTGTAAATTACTCTACAAACATACACCTTTGTTTACGTTTGTCTTTTGCTTGGCAACCACTTTGTTGCAACCACAACTGATTCTGAGGAACTACATTGTTTGGTGGAAAAATACTGTTTTTATTAATATCATTACACTTTATTTGCTCTGTTTTATTTTGTGAAACCTTACTACGTATATGGAATAACCGTTTTATAAAAGCAATAAGCCCCGTGAAGCCGTGGTTTACAGTGAATTTATAATGGCTAAGGGGCGTTGTTAGGCACGACGCGAAGCGGAGAACAGCTAGCCATCCGATTAGTTAAATCTTCAAATCCTGCGCTATATGCAAATTAAGCAGAGTTCACGTCACCGAAAGCAACCCAGTGGGAAATTGATGTTGAGAAGACATCCAATTGATATAAATGTTGATGTCAAAAATAGGTAAAATATGCAAATCATGCAGAGAAACGTTAATCTCCGGTGGGTAATATTTGTGGAGATGAGTGTTGCAGTAGCGCAGTGGTATCTGGAGACAATATAACGCGCTGCCACATCTTTGGGAGGAGCAAAATTCAAATGTGGTTCAACAACTCGATGCATTTACATAGACATTTGTGTCAAGAATGCGTCTCAAACCACCTCCTGAAGTGATTTGCGCTATCGGATTGTAATCCATCTCCAATGCGGACCAGTCCCATCTTTTTTGTTTTTTTAAATTGAGCCGGCCCACCTATCAACCACTTTCTGTATCTGCAACTGCTGGAATCCACATAATTTGTGCTAATGTGACCGCACCTTAACACACCGTCTTTAACAGAATCCAAAAAAAACTCCCACACTGGCAAACTAACTTGTGGGGGAAGAGTGTCTTGCTTGTGCCTGTGATCTTTTCCGACATGATTTTGTGCGGCAGCAGTAGATAAACAGTGTTGTCATCTTTTTTTCCATTTTATGACAGGTGGAGACCAGTGTTACGGTGCAATACTGTGCTTGAGTGTCAACCAAGCTGCTGGATTATTTGCAATATTATCATATGTGTAGTATTAACATAATATCAATATTTATTTATTTTTATCACAGATATCACACAGTTATCGTTAAAACCAATATTTTGCAACACCCTTAGTTGCATTGATGTAGTTATGTGATATTCTGACTTTATATGTATACAGTATTTATCTGATTCTGTTTATCCATAGGTGTGGCCAATAGGCTGTGAGATCAACTGTAAGTGCTTAAAGACTCTATCCGTGTCAGAAGACCGCAGTGTCTGCTTGCAGCCGCGATTACAGTTTGACGGCCGGTACATTGTCTGTAGTTCAGATTTGGGCATATACCAGTGGGACTTCGCAAGTTTTGATGTCATCAGGTACATTAATTTCTGCCCCTTAATTGTTTAACCAAGCTGCCAATAACCCTGTTGAATCAACGATTCTTTGAATGTTCGAATATTTTTATTTAGAGAGCAAACTAATTTTTAAAAAATATTTATTTTTCCATTTAAATCTATAAGTTAAAATGGAGAAATGTTATGAAATATTTGGCACTATTTATAGATCATAAATCAAATAAGCAGATTTGTGCAACTATATATTGTTTTATTAAAAGAGGCATTTGTTTTTAATTGACTGATTCTTTAATATTCACAGAGTCATCAAACCACAGCAGGACCCCTCCAGCCTCTCTCTGCTTGGTTTCGGCAAGGTCTTTGCTCTGCTCTTTGACAACCACCACCTCTATGTTATGGACTTGAGGACTGAGGTCACTGTGGGTCGCTGGCCACTGCCAGCCTACCGCAAATCCAAACGAGGCTCTAGTTTCTTACCGGGCGTCACCTCCTGGCTCAACGGACTGGACGGCAAGAACGATGTGGGCCTGGTGTTTGCCACCAGCATGCCCGACCATAGCATTCATCTGGTTCTTTGGAGAGAGAATGGGTAGAAAGGCAGAGGAGGTGAATACTAGCTCTGTGCTTTGAAAGCAGGCGGGACTTTTACAAACATAAAAAGAAGAAAAAAGGGTGCTCTCCATTTGAAAAATATTACAGTTAGATAATGCATGGACCAAAGTGGTTTTCCCCTCCTCACCTTTGTTGCCATTCGCATTAGGGATTCACTCTTGCTTCAGTCTCTTTCTTAGTCACTTGCAAACTACACATTCAACACATTACAATCTTTAGAAAAGAAGACAGCTGGAGATTTGCAGAGTTTCGCTCGTTTTGATTTCACACCAGTGAGGGATGGTGAAATGCCATTCCACCTCCGGAGCACAGATCGCTTCACAGCCAGCATGAGCAGTAGAGTTGGCGTGTTTTTATAGCACAATCACCAAGATTGACAATGAAGTAATTTTTTTTGTGTGTTATCTATTCAACAAATTTGAATAGATAATTTGTTTCTTTACACGTCAAGAATTTTCCTTTGGACACAGAAATGTTGCCTTAAATCTATGATTTCCTATTGAAGAAATTTAATTTGCAGACCTCTGCATCTATAGGCGCTGGCTTGCGCCCCAAACATCTGTGTTGGTCCTTTTACTGAGTCTTGAAAAGGCTCTGATAAAATGCTATCTGAATGAATCAAATGGCTTTTGTATGAAGGTCATTCAGAAGTAGCTTCTCGTTGTTACTGACCCTTGGTTTTTATTTTTCATTCAGTTTATTAGTCATGTGCCTTTGTTTTAACACTTAACCATTTGCATTTACAGTGTGCACATTTTGAAATCCAATTCTCCCTCAATGACAGAAGAATAAGTTTTATGTTAAGTTTTATTAACCTAATGTAATTGATACAGTAAGAATTAGTCTTACCACTATTTAGCCAGACTAGATCACACAAAAGTGTTTCTTGTGAATCTCATTGAATGTTCATTTTTAATCTTTATTTTTAAAGACTGATCTTATTTTTGCATAATCCAGGGCTAACCAGCCTTTGTCACTTTATATAGCTGCTTCTGTAGTTCTGTATATCCCACTGGAACATAGTTCAATATAACTGTTTATTTTCCAAAACCATCAAAACAAAGTATTTTGGGTTGATGGTTTAATGCATTTTTCGTCTTGCTCACACATTTCAGAGGATAGAAACTGGGTAACATTTTGATTAAATGAAAATATCATTGGGAGTTATGATGTCTGTATGCACTGGTCGTTTGTTACTTCACTGAAATGCAAACCTCACAGACAGTAATGGCATCCATCCATCCATCATTAGCAAAATTCAGGTCTGTTGTTTGTATAACAAAATAACATGCTGTCTTAAAAATAAATGACAGTAACTAATAATAGAAGTTGACTTTCTTTTGACTCATGATATCTGCCGGTTTTCCTTATGTGGAATATCCAGTTATGATCTGTTGCATATGATTTATCAGTTTATTCCAGGTTTGCGTCAACATAATCTCTAGTCTGCTGAACAGCTATGCATGTCACAGCCTTATTATTACCAGAATTACAGGAACCTTTCTCTTGCGAGGAGAAGCATGTTTTATTCAGTTTGCACACTAGAGGGCGATGCTGCAACAAATTTATTAGGGTACAAGACTGCCAAAGGATTGCCTAAAACATACAATAACAGCAAATATATATATATATAAAACTATTGCACAAAGTTTCTGAAAAAGTGAGCTTTTGTGTTGTAATAGATAAAAAAAAATCAGTACATGAGGGTAAGTGAATAATGCATTTTTATTTCTGGGTGAACTGTCCCTTGGCGGCTGAAGACGTGTATATAACAAAAAGATTAAAGGGATAGTTCACCCAAAAATGAAAATTTGATGTTTATCTGCTTACCCCCAGGGCATCCAAGATGTAGCTGACTTTGTTTCTTCGGAAGTGAATGGGAATCACGGCTTTGAGAGTCAAAAAAACATACACAAACAAATCGCAGACTTATAAGTTCATTACCGCCACCTATCTCTCAAATGGACCAT